GGGGGGAGGCTGAAGCCTGCCCAGGGGGTCGCGGTGGGTGAAGTTAACGCTTTTATCCTTCCTCTCGGTGGAGGAGTGGAGAGAACATGTCCGGGATCAAGAGGGTCATCGCGGAGAAGGACCCCGACTACGAGGAGATCGCTGTCACGCACCCCAGCAAGCGTCACAAAGCGGCCGAACAGTCAGGTAGGAGCTGCCTGGCCTGAAAGGGTCTCCCAGGTGGGATCAGAAGTGCCGTGGATGCACATGAGGCTGCGGACGGGTCAGGGGTGGGAGCTGAGGGGTCAGAGGGCAGGAGCTGAGGAAGGGAGATAGTGATACCTCAGTAGCCATAGTGATACCGCTGTAGCCTAATGGATTGTCCTGCACGGAGCAGTTCCTGCCTGCTGACTGCTCTGGGTGTCAGCAGCGGAATGGCACAGCCTGGGGGTGCGGACTTGGGTGTGTGATAGCAGCAGAGCACGAGCTCTCAGGGATAGCAGCCAGAGCATGAGCTCTCAGGCCTCAGCCGTCTGCTCTGGCTGCTGTTGCTGAAGTATTTCCCAGAGCGTCTTCCCGGCACTTACCCATGCCGAGGTGTGCTCCAGTTTGTGCCTTTGTTTTGCAGTGGAAACCTGTTTCCAGGAAGGTTGGTAGTTTGTTTACGTTTTGGGGGATACAGGTTGTAACACGGCATGGAGCAGGGAGCAATCCATGACCCTGCGGAAGACCGGCTCTTGGAAGAAGGGAAGCGTCTGCAGGAGTAGGCAGATCAAGTGAAATGGGGCAGTGTAGATGGGGTAAGTCCGGGAGAAGACAGGGGCTTTGGAAGCCGCAGTGGAGGAGGAACAGCAGCTACGCAACTGAAGGAAAGGTGGATAAAGCAGTGTAGTGGAGGGAGTAGCTGGGTGAGAGTAGATTTGCATTTGGCACGCTTGCATAGGCTTGCTTTGGGAACCAGCCTGTTGGCAGGGTGCCTGGGACAGGTTGCAGTCGTCTCTGGGCAAATGAGAGTAGAGCTTTTTGCCCCTGGGACAGGGAGTAGGCTAGTGATTTCTGGCATAGCCCAGCTAGCAAGGGGATTGTGGTGGGAGGAGCTGACAAACAGGGAGATGAGAGAACTGAAGCTGGCTCTGGGATCTGAAGAAGATCCAGGAACGGAGCTGAGTGCTGGAGCTGCCAGTTGGAGAGGGACAGCTGATGGCTTTGTGGGTGATGTTTTGGAGGACAGCTGGAGGAGCGTGGGGAGGCTGAATTCTGGGTGGAAGGTGCTGCTGGGCGGCAGAGGAGTGTCACTGCTTCCAGCTGCCTGCCCTGCCAGGAGTCACCGTCCTCTGTGGTGGAGTGTACCGGTGACTGTTCTTGAGCCTCTTCCAAAGCAACTTTTCAGAAGGTCTTAAGAGTTACTTTCTGTTCAGGTGGTTCCTCCAAATTGGCTTCTTTCTTCTCTTGGTGGAAGATCTCCAATTTTCAATGCAAGAATTCCTTCAGTATACAAATTTCACTAACACGATGTTAATTAGGGACTGTGGTTGACGCTAAGCTGGGAAAAATGTGAAAATAAAGTGTTCTTAAAAGCCTCTGTAATGTAACCACAAATCCTAAAGTGCTTTGATTGTCATATTGCTGGTGTTGCATGGCATCAGTCTTGGGAAGAGATGCAAGTTGTCCCTGTCTGAACTGCACATCTCATACCTTAATCTGTTTAAGTTTATTTTAAGTGTAGCCTTACTTGCGAATTTCCTAGGCATGGTATTCATGGTTTCAGGAAAATTATATCCCTCTGGTTTTTAATTTTGCATTACTCATACAGATTCAACCATAATTCTGTTTTGTTGTAGGCTTGAACTATTTCTGATCCCAGAAAAAAATTACATACGTGGATCTCTGGAAATAAGTGAATATATTTAGGATGCCCCTGTTGTAAATGGAAACATCAGTTGCCTTATTCCCATTGTTGATACCTGATCAGACACTAAAATCCTGTGTGCCAGCTGGAACATACCAGAAAAGTTTTGACTTGCTTTTGATTTCTTTACACTTGTTATTGGGATATTAGCAACATCTTCAAACACATATGTACCCTTTAGACAAACAAATGCTTCCTCTGAAGCTCAGAACAATGTCTTGGTGCTGTTGCCTCCCATTCCACATAGAAACAACGTTGAAAGAGTTTTGTTTCAGAGGAACCCAGGCTGTTTCTCTTTTCTGCTTTGTACCGGGGTCACCGTTTCTGACTGAGGCTGGAGGACCTTTCCCAGGCTTTCTTCTAGAAGCAGAATCCCTGCTTTTCCAAGTTCTTGCTTAGAACTTGATAAAAACAGGTGTTGTTTGAACCCTCTGACACAATGGAGATGGCTTAAAAGAAGGGCAGTATTTCAAGCCTGCGGTAGATCTAGAGCAAAAAGAATTGTTCTTCCTGTGTTTATACATGTTCTAGAAGAAACACAATGAGATGCCAATTTAGTTCTCAGCTGCTAATTTGCAGTAAGGTGTTCACACAGTTTGAAATATTGAACTACATACTTTCCACCAAGGTCAATAAATTCCTGCT